TTCCTGCTCTGAGCTTGGGGTTCCAGACACTCTGTCTGGCCGTGTCTCCTGTGAGCAGGTCCAAGGGTTAATTCCCATCCACATCAGAAAAAAAAAAAAAAAAGGAGGAAAAGATGCAGTGAATGTCTGCAGCTCCTGCTTTCAGCCCCGAGGCTGCTGTGCCCTCGCTGAGGAGCTGCAGTGCTGCAGCCTCTCCTGCCCAGGGACGTCTCCAGCTCCCAGCCCAGAGGATCAGAGCCACCGTCTGTCCCTGTCCCTGCCACCCCCTGGACCAGGGCCAGCCCATCTCACAGCAGGGGCTGCTGCTCTGCTGAGCAGCCTCAGCCTCTGCATCCTCATCCTCCTCAAATCCACACTGTCCTCTCCTCCAGCCCTGGAAGCTCTCCCAAACTCCTGGATTTACATTCAGGAGCAAATCTCCTGTGGTCCCTCCAGCAGCACAGGGGGTCCTTGCCAGCCCAGCCCCACTGTGCCCAAGGAACTGAGCCATCCCCAAGGGCCAGACCCTTCTCTGGGTCTTAGAGCAGAGGAGATTTTGGGCTGGGACATCTTTGGAAAATGGAATAGGAAGTTTGGGGGTGCTGGAAGAGGCTGGACTCTGAGCAACTGGCACTACATCTCCCTGATCAAGGTCTGAGCACAAGGTGCTCCTCTCCCTCCCAGCCCCCTGAAGTGGCCGAAATGGCCACCAAGGTGCAGACATCACCCAAAACCACCTGCACACTGTGCTGGCATGGCATGGGCATCTGAGGGGGGTCACACACCCCCAGCTTGTGTCCTTGGGGTGCTCCATGAGCTGTGGGAATAAGCTTGGATCTATCAGACTTCTTCAGGTGAATGTGAAGCTGCCCCTGCTGAGCTCCTTTCTCTCCTTCCCCTCCCCAGTGTGACCAGTACAAGAAAGGAATCATTTCTGGCTCCACATGCAAGGATCTGTGTGAGGAACGTGGCCTCCTCTTCCAGCACTGCCTCTCCTCCTCTCCCACCCAGCAGGTAGGTCTCTGCCTCCTCCACCACACGGCACGGGATGGGTACAGGCATAAAACCCGGGAGATCTCCTCACCCCATCCCTGTTCCCGTCCTCAACCAAGCCAGAACCCAGCTCTGGGGGTTTTTTTGCACTTACTGTTCTCCTCCCACCTCACCCTGTCCCCTCCCCTGTGCTGCAGGTTTACAGCGGGCTCTGGAGGGACAGGGAGGTGATCATCAAATGTGGCATTGGAGAAGCCCTGAGGGCAGACAGCCGCCCGGACTCTGTGCCCAGGAGGGACGTGGTGCTCTTCGACAAACCCACACGGGGGACGTCCATGGATGAGTTCAAAGAAATGCTCCTCAACTTCCTCAAGGTCAGTGCAAGGGTCTTGTGGGATCCCACAGGCCCAGGATGCCACCTACAAGTTGGGAAGACTAATTGTGTCTTTCCCTCGAACGAGATCCCCTCTGGCCCACACTCCTCCACCCACTGCTGGGTGCTGGGCTGGGTGCTCCCTGCCACGTACTGGATTAGTGGAGAAAAACCTCCATTTTCTCCCAGGAACTCTTATTGGTGATATTTGAGTAGCAGCAGCCCTGGAGGCCTCTGTGCCTTGGCTCTGGGTGGCATCTGTGCTGGGCAGAGCTGATTCACAAGCCCATGGTGGCCCCTGCGTGGGGCTTCTGGGTCAGCAGTGGTGCCTGGCCTTTGCTCCCAAAACCATGCTCCTGTCTGGAGCCCCGAGGCTGGTAACATTCTGCTGGAGCTGAATCTGTCCACACAATACTGTGGCATCAGATCTTCTGGTGTGTGGTACTGTTTCCTCCTCTCCCCAGCTCAGGTCTTCGCACTCCCAGTTTGGTTTTGCGATATGACAGCCAAACACAGAGGGCTCTGGGGGTCTGATGCCACCTCTTGTCCCATTTGCAGTCCAAGCTGGGAGATCAGCCATCCCTCCCAGCCCTGGTGAGCCGGATCATTGCCATGGCAGACGTGAACCGTGACGGGAAAGTGTCTCTGGCCGAGGCCAAATCCATCTGGGCGCTGCTGCAGCTCAATGAGTTTCTTCTCATGTTCTCCCTGCACGAGAAGGAGCACACTGCCAAGCTGCTGGGGCACTGTGGGGACCTCTACGTCACCGAGAAGATCCCCCACACCTCCCTCTACGGGCTGGATGTCCCCCCCTTCCTCCAGTCGCTGCTGCCTTCCGTCGCCCACCAGCTCCTCCACCAGTGGTTCGCGCCGGCGTGGCCCCGGCGCGCCAAGATCGCCATCGGCCTCCTGGAGTTCGTGGAGGAGATTTTCCACGGCACCTACGGGAGCTTCTACATCTGCGAGACGGGCTTCAGGAACGTGGGCTACAACGACAAGTTCGACTTCAAGATGGTCGACCTGAGGAAGGTGGCGACGGAGGCGACAATCAGGGGGTTCCTCAAGGGGCGTCACTGTGAGCAGAACGTGGACTGCACCTACGGGCGGGACTGCACGGCGGCCTGCGACAAGCTGCTGAAGCAGTGCAAGGGCGACATGGTGCAGCCCAACCTGGCCAAGGTGTGCGGGTTGCTGCAGGACTACTTGCTGTACGGGGCGCCGCTGGAGCTGAAGGATGAGCTGCAGAAGCAGCTCCGAACTTGCATGACCCTCAGCGGCCTGGCCAGCCAGATGGAGGTGCACCACTCCCTCGTGCTCAACAACCTCAAGACCTTGCTCTGGAAGAAGATTTCCAACACCAAATATTCCTAACGGGGGAAGCACGGCCCTGGAGTTTAGGATCTGCCACCTCGGAGTCAAGTCTAAGGGCTGAAGGCCTGTTTCTCCATCTTCCCCACAGGTAAAATACACCCTGCACAGGGAGTTCAGCAGAGCTGCAGCCCCTTCTCCATGGCAAACCAAGCTTCATGACTTCCACCGCCCAGCAGGATCATGGATCAGTCAGCAGGAGTGTCTGCAGAGCTGGGACACCAGGCTGGACAGGCTTGGGGGAGGAAGATGACATGGAAAGGGATAAGGAAGCGGAGCCCAGCTGGATGCATCTAAGTGTTTCTTGATTAACAGGAAAGCAGAGCAGAGTGATGGGAATGAATCATTCATGCTGTACTTGTCACATCTTCTTTTGATGAACGTCTCTGATGTAAATAAACAGCTTTTACGTGAATCACACCAGTACATCAATAGTGAAACAGCAGCCTGTTAAGTACCAGCTTGTTTGTGATCTAAAAAGGAGGAAAAGGTAGATTTCCTGATTCAAAAGTCTCTCCTTAAGTGTCTGAGTCATCTGCCATCAGATCCAGCTGTAACATAGGAAGCAGATAAGCAGTCTGTTCCACAGTGTTGAATCCTGGCAATTCTTTGGTTCCATTTTTAAGTGCCTGACCCTGACAGTGATGCCATGGCTTGTGCGAGGCTCCCACTCGGCTGCTCCCACCCCAAGTCCAAAATTGGCAGCACAGGCCATTCCCTCACATGTTGGCTTTGGAAGCTCTAAGGCCAAGGAGAGCTTAAAGGCAAAAGGGCTAAACATGAACAGTTCTGACCCGTTAATGTGCTCCATGTGTCCCTTCCCACCACACTCAGAGCAGGGATAAACCAACCTCTCGGTTTAATTCTCCTAAAACTAAGCTGGGCTTGCCCTGCAGAGGTTGAAGGTTAATACCAGAATAATCCAGTGCTTCTCTTGTTATTAAAGTGAATTTCCAGGCAAGCTTTCAGCAGGTCTCAAGACATTTGTTTGGCTGTGTATGTACTACCAGGGCTCTAAGTATAGTCGTTTCCTTTAAATGCCCAATTATAGCAATCTTAAAACTGTGGGTAGGGAAGAAGAGCTTTTATAAACTCCCCCAAGGCTGCTCTGTTCCCAGCACAGCCATATTCCTGCTGCTGGGCTGCACAGTGGTTCTCCTGCCAACAATTCCCGAGTGGAGTGTGCAGCTGATGTACAATCCCAATTAAAACTACACCTGACAGTATCACCTGGGAATGTGATCAGCAGAGCTGTGGCTACACATTTAGGAGCCCTCTGAGGAGAGACCAGGATTTCCTTGTGTTAGTTCTTTCGGATCCTCATCCCCTCGCACTGGTGTTTATGGAGTCAGCAGGGCCCTGTGTCCAGCACAGAGCTCCCTCCCTGCCGAGGAGTGGCCTCTGCAGTGCAATTTATCCCTGGATAAGCTGAGCACTCCCAAAGTTTCTGTGTTTGGAGGGTGCCAAGTCCTCAGCCCCTCGAGTCGCCCTGGCTCAGGTACAGATGTTACCAAGGTGAGCAGGGCCCCCTGTAAGGTGTGGGTTCACCTGCACAGGAGGGAGCATGTGGGCAGGGCTGGAATTCACTGGAATTCAGTAATGAAGCTCCACACAGCCACTGCAGCTCATCCATTGTCCTGCATCCCCATGGCAACCAGCTCCACTGGCAAATTAGTTTGCTTCTGCTATTAGCAAAGGAATCCAACACCCACCCATGGCAAGTGCCCTCCTCAGGTCATCAGAGAAGCCATTTCTCACCTTCCCCTCTTATTTACTGGTAAATTTTGTCCAGATATTCCCACTAAATCCCTGCTGCTCCTTTCTCCCAAAGCAGTGTTAAAGCAGCAGGCAAGCACCTGGAAAAGGAAAGGGGTTTTTCCCTCAATATCAGAATTTTTAAGTAATTATAGTGAAGATCCAGGAGAGGCAGCTCCTGTACCTGACAAATTTATTGAAATAAACACTTCTGACAACAACTTGTCCCATCACCATCATTGATCCACAGATCCCACAGCACTGGATACTCCCAGGGATCACTGATGACTCAAAACCCCAAAAGCACAGTTTTGCTCATCCCTAAAAAGCACAAAGTCTTTCTTTGCAGTACTCATCATTTACAAGTTACACAGCAATACAGGAGAGAATGAGTAAAGGCAAAGCTATTTTACAGTCAAACCTCCTCCAGATTTCCCACAGAGGCTGGAATAAAAAGCCAGAACACAAACACTGATAATCTGATCTCACTGGATGCTGCTGCTTCTGCAGCAGAGATTTGTGCCCAAGGGGATGGAGGTAAGAAATACCTTTAATTGCAGGAAGTACAAAACCATCCCAGCTCCCAGATCTACAAACAGAAGTCTTAAATCCTAGAATGGTTAAAAAATAGTGTTACTTGGGGTGCTACAACTACACGAGCCCCATTCAGACTTATGGTAGGTGGTATCTTTATTTAGTCCTTTTTTTAAAAATCCTTCTTAGCCATGTAGAGAAAACACAGATGATCAGCTTTTGAGGAATCCATGAATCTTCACATGCAGACACTGCCAATCACTTCTTTTGCTGTTGCCACTTTTGTCAGGAATTCTGAAACTCAAGCTATGACCTGCAAATAAAGGAAGGGTCCAGGATGTCAGACAAATTCTAACATGGCCAGGAAAAGGGAGAAATAACGTCAATACCAAGGAGCTAATTAACTCCTGTCATCCAGACTTTGCTGCCCTTGTTTGTGTTGGAATCGCCCAAAGATTTTTTACATCCCAGATGTGAAATAAAAAAGCTTCATAAAATGAACCCAAATGTTGGGGCAGTCATTAGAAGGGCTCAGTTATGAGGGTTCAGAAGGTTACTTTTAGAAAAGGATTTCCTTCAGTCCAGAACCACAGGAACACCTCAAATCCCATTGCCTGGATTCCCTGCCTGGACATCTGTGTGGCTCAGGACCCACAGCAGAGACAGAAGCAGATGGCACCAATTTAGGAGAAATTCTTTGCCATTCCAACAGAGAGCTTTTGGAAAAATATCTGTCTGGGCAGACAGTGCACTTGGGTGAGTTTAGGTAAGGGCTAATCGAAGAGAAGGATAGCTGGAGCCTGCTCTGGGTTATTCCTTCACTCCCTAAAAATCCAAGCCGAGTTTGCCAACCTCAGGGCAGAGCCAAACTAATAATAGTGCAGGGAAAAGAAAAGCTGGGCTTATTCCAGTGTTCAAAGCCATGACAGAAACCAGTCTTAGATGATGAAGGGCTAAGTTATGTGCTGAGACATTTTTAATTTCTCCCAAATCATCTTAATACAAAACATTTCTTTTCCACAGTGGAGAGCCAGGTATTCTTTCAGTAAAGCCAAATTCTTGGCCCAGGAGTGCTGCTGAGGCTGGGGAAGGCTGTTCACAGCAAATCCTACCAGGAAAATGTTCATAGTTATCCTGTGCCTCACACAGGGAAGTTCTGGAGACACTTATTAGCACTCACGGCCCATCCAGGACCCCTGATGCGAGTAAAGCCTGATGAAAAACCCCAAACATGTATTTTAGGGTTGAAAGAAGCCAGGAAATTTAAATAGAAGAGTCACATCCCATCTCTCCCCAACCTGATTAGCATTCTTTTCCAAAGCCACTGCTGGAGGCAGTGACTTTTCCCAATTAGAGGGCTCACTTTGCAGCCAGCACAACCTGCAGGCTCTGCAGCACCTCTGGCCCTCCTTAATGCCCATTTAATGAGGTTTCCCACCGTTTAGCTCTGCCAGAGTCTGTCAAAGCTGCAAAAGCCTCAGTTGCACAATCTCTGTGTGGTCAGAACTTCTCTCCCCACTCATTCCCAGAATAGGTTCATGTCACCCAAGGAAGGACAGTGACACACAGAACTATCTGCATACAGGGACACCTGTGCTCCCTCCTTGGAGATTCCTTTGCCATCATGCCAAAAAATAAACACAACAACAAAAAACCCTCTGTGCTCAATGAATTATATTTTTGCTTCTTGTCTGATGTTTTACCAGCCAGAATGTGATGCATGGGGAAGTGAGATCTTGTCTTGGGAAACAGGGCAAAGCACTGCTGCACTTGAAATCACTCCTGAAGGATCTCAAAAGACTTCCAAGTTTCAGCATTAAACTTTTCCCTGGATTACCAAAATCAGTATTTTTATTTCTTTCTCCATTACCTCTCTAAGAGATCATCTCCTTATTTTGCACATCTGTGACACGAACATGACTGCAGCAGTTTTGTGTCAGCAGCACCAGAGCCTGTTTTGAGAATCTTCAGGCACATAAAAGTTTAAGCTCTTGGCCTGACAGAGCTGTCCCTGAAAGGAGGCACTTTGGGAGCTGAGAAAGGCAGTTCGAGGAACTGAAATAAGTGTCAATCAGAGGTGTTAAACACTGCTTACAAAAATGCCTGCATTAGCAGAACCTGAAAGTGCTTCACCCAAAATAGGGGTTTGTCAGAAAAAAAGATGAAAAAATACTGAATTTTAAGGCTTTTTTCTGCAAGAAGGCTTTAGTAGCATTTTAATTTTTTTTTGTCCATGTCCTGCAAGAAGTTCATCAGGACAAGATGTACCAACACAAGGGTTTCTTTCCATTCAGTCTGGTAACACGTTGAGAAACGACCCAACACCCACCTTTGACATTTGAAGATCATTCCAGAACTCAACCCTGCTCTCGAGAGGAACTGTGAGAAGGAAAAACATCCTCAGTTTGGGTTTTTTTTGGTAAAGGATTGAGTTGATTTTGTGTTTCTCCCCCCAAAAAGCAAGCATGATTACAAAGCCACATTTCAGAAGATTCCTGATTGCATCTTCTGCTTTAATTTACTCCAGGTGTAACTTTCTCCCTATGCTAAATCCACACCCAACTCCATCTATAACCCTGCCCATGTTTTGGAAACAAAGTAAGTGCCTGTTTCCCTCATCTCCTCCACTCCCAGGTACAGTTCTTGATAGCTACACAATCCCAAACCCTGCACAGCTTGAGATGCCCTTTCACAGGCAGCAATCAAGAATATCTCTAAGGCCAGGAAGGAGTAAAAATAGAATTCAGGAACAGAGCTGCCACTTCTACTTGTCCTTGTAAAAATAAGGAAGGACCTTCCCCTGATGCAGTTAAAACTAACATCATTTTAACTGCTCTTAAAAGGAATTGTGCTCCACCTTTTGCTGATTCTCTGGAGAGTTAAATGTGGAAACAACATCAAGCAACTCATCTCTGATCTCTGACCTCTAATGAGATCAAAGGAGAGCAAATCTCCAAGCACTCAGGATTATTGGAATAGATAATACTACAATTTGCCAATCCTCACAAGAGCATCCAGTGACAGGACAAGGCGAAATGGCTTTAAACTGAAAGGGGGGAAGTTTAGATGAGATATTGGGAAGAAATCCTTCTCTGTGAGGGTGGGGAGGCCCTGGCACAGGTTGCCCAGAGAAGCTGTGGCTGCCCCATCCCTGGAAGTGTCCAAAGCCAGGTTGGACAGGGCTTGGAGCAAGCTGGGACAGTGGAAGGTGTCCCTGCCCATGGAGGGGGTGGAATGAGATGAGCCTAAAGTCCCTTCTAACCCAAACCATTCTGTGAATCTCTAAAGCAATAAAAGAAATCTGAATTAGCTTTTAACACAGTGTTAGTAAAACAGCTGCTGTGCCCTGTTCAGGCTTCACCATTTCAGATTTACATTAAAGGGGAAAAAAAAAGCCACAAACAGGAAAAGCAATAAATAAATGTCAGGTTGTTGAGCAATCCTGGGAGCTCACAGGAGTCAGAGCACCAGGGAAGGAGTCTCCTGTTCCTCTCTGCCACCGATTGACACAGACGTGGCACTGCAGCCACGCCTGCAACACGAGATGGGGCAGGGCTGTGTGGGCAACTCACACTGCTGTGGCTCACCTCGGGTCTGGGACACCTCCTGCTCTGCCAGTCACGTGGCTTTGTCTGGAAAACATGTGGAAAATACATATACAGGGTTTAGACACACTTCAAAGCCTGGTTATACAGTTACTGTTTCACTGATGACAGAAACTTGAAAGAAATAAATGCATAGCAGAGGAATGTTTTTGGATAGAAACAGGGTTGGTGACTCCCAGGACATGCTCCCAGTGATGTCACCAACTCACCACATGGCTTTAGACTAATAACTTTAACTCATTCTTCTACAAGATTGTACCCACAGGATCTGTTTTTCAAGGCTATATAATCATAAAGACACGTGCCGCCTCTCTGCAGCACATCCACTACAGGTCAAACAGAACAACTTCCCATCGTGCTACACACAGATCTCACACTTAGGGCAACCAGAAGTGAGTTTTTCACCAGTCTCCTTGGAAGCAGCTGGTTTATTAATGTTGTCAGGCTGTCAATCACTCTGAGTGCTCACGGGCTGCAGAGCAAACGAGCGTAGAACACAGCCTGTCTCTCTTGCCACGTCTTGACACAAAGATGCCACAGCAGCCATCTCTGCAACGCCAGTGGCAGCTTGGGAAATAAAAAAAATCCCAAAACCAAAAGCATAAAGACTGAAGAAAATGCAATTATGGGTGGATGTCCCACTCCTGGAAGCGTTTGAGGCCAGGCTGGATGAGCAGCCTGGTCTAGGGGAAGGTGTCCCTGCCCGTGGCAGGGGGTTCAGTGAGATGAGCTTTAAGTTCCCTTCCAATCCAAACTATTCCATGACTTTATGGTATTTATAAGAAGATTATATCACCTCTTGGAAAGCAGTGTTACAAAGGCATTCGGTGGGCAGCCTTTGTTTGAAGCATCACCCTTTTTTTCTGAAGACACACAATCTCTGCCCCTTCATTTTTTGCCTGCTGATGGGCTGAAAAAAGACAAATAAAGAATGCAGTTAATACCACACGAGTGTTAGGCAAACTATGTAACCACCTTTTTTTTGGCGAAACACACTGTTTACCTGAAAACTAGAGATTTAAAACATAATTTAAAAAACCAGAATATCTGCCGAAGACTTGAATCTTTAAAAAAATATTTTCCTGAAAACCTGAATAGGCAGCAGCCTTAGATTTTCCTCCCCTCCTCGGAGGGGGAGTATATATTAAAATATATATTAAATGCATATATTGAAATTTATATTAAATGTATATATTAAAATATATACAGCTGTATTCAGATATCTGTGTGTGTGCGCATGTATATATTTATACATATATATAAAATAGCCCTAGTCCATTGCTATACATGAGCTGAAGATATACCGGATTTACAGCGCACGTGGCAGCGCCTGGAGCCCCCGGGGAACCGCGGCCCCTCCAGGATGGGTCCAGCTGAGCGGGGACCCGCCTTACCTTCACTCTCCCCTTCACGTCCCCCCGCCGGGGCCGCTCAGCGCCGGGGCCGAAGGGAAGCGGGACCGGCCCTCAGGGAGCTTCGCCACAACATGGCGCGGGAAGGGCAGCGCGGCCCTGCCCGGGCGGGCCCTTCTCGGCCAGCACCGGCTTCCCGCCACTGAGGGGCCCCTCAGTTTCCCCATGACCAGGCCGGGAAGGGCCGGTCCCGCTCCCATTCCCAGTCCCACTGAGGAACCCCCGAAGACCCGCACGCTCCGCTCCGCGCCCGCAGAAAGGACGATCTAACTCCCGCCTCCCGCTTATATAGGCCGGGAACGGAAAGGCCTGCGCGGTGCTTTCGCGCCCGCGAGCGCCCCCTGCTGGGCGGGAGGTCTCAAAGCAGGGACCGGGGACACGGGCAAGGAACGGGGCTCAGGGCTCTTCCCCACCCTGCAAGACTGCTCTAGGGCCTCCCATGGAGGCACGAGGCGTACTAGGGGATGGATATCCCTTTTCTCAGCTGCTTCGGGAGCCCCTGCTTCCCGTGGTTTGGCTCTGAGCATGTCCTGGGACAAAGCATGGACCCTCCAGCCCCATGAGGCACCAGCCGGTGGAGATCCTTCAATTCTGTGATGAACCAGCCAGCGGGGACCCTCCAACCCCACTGGGGCCCCTCCAGCCCTGCAATGTACCAGCCACCCTGCAATGTCCCCAGCTTGGGGACATCCTTCATCCCTTTCCCTCCCATTGCCTTGACTCCCCTGGCATTGCAGACTCCCCTTCCCATTTCACCATGGAAGAAACAAAAAGGATCAGAGGGATAAACCCCTTTATTTGTTAAGAAGAGGCACGAGATACAACTGGTTTCAGGTGAGATCATGAGCTCAGGAACAGGAAGGCCACAGGACATCGGCACTTCCTTGCAACAGGGACAAACCCAGGGAATGGGGCAAGGTCTGGCCTGGCTCCATTTTCCCTGCATGGCTCTGGAGGGAGCAATTTGAGCCGGGGACTGTGTGTGGCTGTGACCACCACGGGATCTCTGTGCACAGCAGAGCTGGGGGGCCCCTTCCACAGCCAGCCCAGCCCTGCCAGAAGCCAGTGCCCGGAGTGCAGAGCCAGTCCTTTGGAATTGGAGCAGGAGACCCATCCCCAAGGCACTGAGCCCGTCTCGGGGGCTCTAATTGCCCTCAGCTTTCCTCCGCAGCTCCTCGATGGCCTCGCTCTGCCGCCTCTTGTCCTTGGCTCGGATGATGGTCATCCTGAAGAGCTTGCAGTAGAGCTCCACGGCCGAGGGGCTGTCGTCGTTGCCGGGGATCGGGTAGGTGATCAGGGAGGGGTTGCAGTTCGTGTCCACCACGCCCACCGTGGGGATGTTCATCTTGGCGGCGTCCCGGACGGCCACGTGCGTCTGGAAGACGTTGTTGAGGCTGCTGAGGAAGACGATGAGGTCGGGCAGGCGGACGCCGGCGCCGAACTGGATGTGGGCGTTGGTGAGGAGCCCGCCCTGCCAGTAGCGCGTGTGCGCGTACTCGCCGCAGGCCCGCGCCGTGCACTCCACCAGGTGGCAGAACTGGCGCTTGCGGCTGATGAAGAGGATGATGCCCTTGCGGTAGGCGATGTGGGCCGTGAAGTTGAGGGCCAGCTGGAGGTGCTGCATGGTCTGCTCCAGGTCGATGATGTCCTGATCCAGCCGGCAGCCGAAGATGTAGGGCTCCATGAACCTGTGGGGGCAGAGGGAGGGCGGCACAGGGGCATGGGGACAAGGTGTGCTGGCACTGAGCGCTTCTGGATGTGGGGTGGCCACACAGGAACCTTCCTTTCCCCCACTCCAGCTCCTGGCTGATACCAGAGGTGCTCTCTGCAGAGAGCCTTCGTGTCCAGTGTCTGTTCCAGCTGGGCTTGGGGGGCTGTGGGTCTCACCCCCCCCTTGGTGCCCACATTGTGGGGGGTCCCTGTAATCTGCCCTGTGTGGGCAGTTCCAGGCTCAGACCAATCTAGTGCAGCCCCCAAAGCAAACATTGTTTATGGAAGCACTCTTGAAGTCAACAAGCACTGGATGATGAAATAATTCCACTCACCTGTGCCGACAGCCCTTTTTGTGGCCCAGGTGCACCCGAGCATCAAAGAGATCTTTCAGGGTGAAGAGCTCCTTCACGTTGAAGAAGTCGGGGTGGCTGAGAGGCTCTGACAGCAGCTTGTCATCCGCAGCTGAGAGAAGGGAAACAATCAATCACTGCTTCCTCTGGTGTTTTGGGGGACGAGCTGGGACTGCAGAAAGGACCCCCATGCACCCACGACCACCTGCTGCAACGAGGCGATACCTGCACGGGCATCGCTCATGGCCTGGACCCGGGGAGGGAAAACACTCACCGCTGGGCTGGGTCGCCACTGGGGCCGGGGCCGTGGCCGGGGCCGGTACCAGGACGGTGCTGTAGAGCCGCGGGGCCGCTGCGGGAGAGAAACACGGGGGTCACACGGGCGGGCCGGGGCGGACCGGGCGGGGCTGGGCAGCGCCCGCTCACCTGCCCGCAGGAGCCGCGGCACCGCCATGCTCCGAGGGCACCGCGGGGCAGCAGCAGCGGGAGCGGGAGCAGGAGGAGGATGAGGAAGGTCAGCGGCGCTTTCCGCTTCCTGCGGGGCGGGGCGGGCCCCGCGCCCTCCCCGGGGCGGAGCGCGGCGCGATCGCGTCCCGTCGCCCAGCAACGCTCAGTGCCCCGAGCCATGTCCGGCCCCGACCCCGGCCTGCCCGGCCGCTTCCGACAGCCCGCCTTCTACCGCGGCTACGGGTGAGCGGGGAGCGCGGGGCGGGCCCCCCGGAGCCCCCCGTGCCCCCCACCTACCCCGTGCTCTCGCCCCGCAGGCAGCCGGCGCCGCACCCCCGGTTCCGCACCACCAACCAGACCTACGGCAGCAGGGCCCCCACGGTGCACGAGCTGCCGGTAGGTGATGGAGGGACCCCCGGGGGGGGCTCGGGGTCAGCACGGCCAAGCTTTGCCCTCCGCGGCGTCCCCGGTAGCTGAAACCCAGCTTCGCATCCAAACCTTGCAGGCGCTGTGGCTGCGGGCAATTTTAAACATCTCCCTTCTTTTCTCGCCCCTCCCCAGACCTGCTTCCGCGTCATCTCGCACAAGTTTTCGGATCATCTGGGCAAGGCTGGCATGTACAGGAACAACAGCCTCAACACCTCGCTGGAGAAGAGCTACTGCACGGGCCCCGACACCTTCATCACCGCCTACGAGCACATGGACTTCCACCCCAGCTACAACCCCAGCGGGCCCTCGCACTGCAGGAACCTGAGCTAGGGAGGGAGGGACACCAGGGAGCCACCGCGGCTTCTCCCGGTGGGGAAACCACGCACAGCTGAGAGGAAACCCACTGATTCACAGAACGAATGTTATTGTTAATAACATATATTGTTATATATGTTAATTTATAAAGATTTAGTGTGGTTAAACGTCAGTTAAATGGCTCATAGGAGCCGTCTCGCTTAGTTTATAGGCAGCATATAAATCCTAGAACAACATATATCCCCTTAACCTCTTCTCTGTCGCTAATGATCCTTTAAATTCTTGGCTCATGTACCGCATATAATTAAAAATTAAGATTTAAACTGCTTCTCTACTATTCAATGAATAACCGATCTGCAAGTTTTCCAGAGGTATTCATTAACCTTTTGGATTGCTTGTAGAAAGTTAATGCTTCTTCTATCTCACAACTACAAAGCTTTAAGGAATTATTCAAATAACGACAAGTAATCAAAAAGAAAACGTTTTCTTAGGTTTTATTGTAACAACTGTAGTTACAGCCAGTGAAACTGCACTGTCCAACTGCACTAAAGGAACACCTTTACATTTTTAGCTTAAAAACTAGTTTTGAAGAAAAACTGCTCTGCCTGTTTATGGATGAGAAACAGTCCCATGTTACAGGTGTAACACAGGGATAGTATCCATTAAAAATGAACATAATGCTATTCTAGCTGTTTGCTAAAAATATAAATAATGAGTTTAATATTATGGCCAAGCACCACTGCAATTGATATTCTTCAGTGTCATAAATATTCCCTATTTGTGGCACTTGGTTCTCTCAAACAAAGGAATAGCTGGGTAAAATCCCCCCCCGGCTGCAAACACACCAATACATTGGAACAAATAAACAAACTGAGCAGAAACAGGCCTGAAAAGTTAACTTTTAAAATATTTAACATGTGAAAATAAATAAGCAACTCTCTACTGTTCACTGTTAATTCTTCTATTAGACTCTAGACAGTATCTTGAGCTTCTTACAGCTTCCCTTTCTTCTCCTGAAATGAAGAAAATAACAAAGTGCTGAATTAATATAAATAGTTGTGACTGTTTTATGTATTATTTTTATCCACAGATTTTTCTGCAGGTGGCATAATTTAGGGATAAGAGTCCCTCTTAAAAATATAACTATAGTGGATTCTGTCACATATCTTCCCACTTCATCTGAAAACACCCACCTCTTTTCTTCCTTGCCTCAATTTCTTGTCTTTTAGTTTTATTCTTGAACTGAAACCAGTTCCTTTGAAGAGTTTGACATGCAATGTGCCTTAAGTGTTCATATGTTAGACCAAATACTTAAGAAATACCTGCACAAATTCAAAATATCATCCTAAAGATGACACATTTTACCACACAGAATCTCCCTGGAACAGTCTCTTTCTACTCTGTCTTTTGAAAGGGAGATTTTCATGTTTGCAGATACAACTGTGTGAGGCTGAACTATCACAAACTGAAGGTTTGAAAAATTAAAAAGCTTATACATTAATAAAAGAAATGGTGGCAGGGATGGTGTGTTCCTGCCTCGTATAAAAAAGCAGCTACACGTCGAAACGTGTTAAAATAGCAGCAAAGAATGTTTATAAAAAATTAAGGTAGTTCTTGTGGTCTCATGAGGATCCTTGAAGATTGTTGCTCCCAAAGCACTGAAAAATAGTCACTGAGGTAAAAATAAAGCACTAAATGTATTTTCAAAGTCCTGCACAAGCACAGATTTATCTGAGAACCGTGGTACTGCAGCCAGGAGGACATCACTTACCAGGAGCCATAATGAAAAATACCAAGTGGTTTAAATAACTTAACATCCAAATTAGCACATGTTGTGCTCTGACTGAAAAAAATAATCACTGCTCACTTTTAAAAAATATGAACCAGCATTCATTAAAAAAGGTAATTGTTTCCAAGAGTGGGAAGACCCGAGTTCATGATTCCATCTACTGCAGTAAAGGATAAATTGCTGTCCCTGGAGGGTGGAAAAACGGGAAAAGGACTTTGTTCTGGTCACTCCCCAGAGCTGTCACCGGGTGCTGAAAAGGGCCAGGAGGGCTGTACAGTCTGTGCCCACTCTGGGGCTGTTGTGGTTGCTATAAACAGGAAATAAAATCTCCTTTTGGAACTGCATCTGTCAAGATCCAACCTCGAGAGATCTGCCCTGCAGTCCCAACCTCGGTACCATGTGTGGTATAATGATATCCTATTATTATCAATTAAAAAATCAATATCATCTTTCTACTCCTCAGCTGGTCAACCTTTAGTAATGTCTCAGAGGGATTTCTTATTGATCCCAGACACCACACTTCTTTTTTTTTTAAACAAGTGATAAGAACTGTAGCAGGATGAGGACACTGCCAGTGGAGCCATGGCACTCTCGTGGCTGTTGTCCCAATTCCACAGATGTTCCCTGACACACATTTAGTTACACAAGGAAAGACCCCACTTCTTGACCACAAACACCAGCAAAGAAAACTGCTGCTGGGGTTTTGCTAAAACAAGCACCATTCTCACCTCCCAGAACAGCCACCACTTTGTTTGGCCGATGTAGTTGGTAGACTCCCCTTCATTTTTTTGTTCTAAAGAAGTTAATTGCACCCTCAGAAAACAGGCAGGAAGGGAGAAAAGGGAACAGAAAAATGCTACTCACTCAAGATGATGACACAAACCATAGGAGCACTCTGGTTTCATGGTCCATGGGCAGAACCCCATTTATTAAACATTATAAACTCAGCAATGTACACCATTTCCTATATACAAATCAAGTTTATCAATTTAAAAAAAGTGCTGTTTGAAATCAGGTTTTATTTAAAGCACAAGGTAACTGGAATTGCATCTTAACTGGAAGTGAATCAGTTCACAAGTTGTACTGAGGACACAGACACAGCGACAGGGGCACGAGACACCTTTAAAGTCTTAAATGTTGATTTACTGAAAACTTGGAGGAGAAACATTCAGCTTTTTATACAAACAGTACATAGTGCTTCCACCATCTCTAGGAAAATTAAGTATACAGTTTAATCCTTTTAAAGCAAGGTACTCAGAAAACTTCTATTTTAAAATACCAGCCTACTGACCTATTCCAAACAAAAGGCCCAAATCCTGCAACGGAATCAAGGCAGACCGAAGGATAAGCCTGTGTAGAGGGACTGCAGGCACTGAGCTAAGGAAAAAACCACTTTTCCAAGGTATCCTACCACAAAATGGAGATGATTTAACACACTGACCTTTTAAACAACCCGACCAACCAACCCAAGGACTACAAAAAGGCGGCCGGACAGTAAGAAATGTCAAGTGAGCACTATAAACATGTTTAAAACGTAACTGCACAACAGTATAAACACACCAAGGATGTTGTTTCTTTCTCTACATGCCACAGTTACTCCTTCTACTCTATGCTACGCTGCATTTTGCCACTATTCTGCATCACACCAGGGACACCATGAGACACTGGATCCGGTCTTGGCTGCTTTTGCTCCAGTTTGCAGTTTTAAGGCCAGCCTCGAGGAAGGCTGAAGTGACTGAGAAACAAAGTGATGCTAAGTGGTGGTTTGGCTGAGAGAAGTTCTGCAGAAGGCGAGACAAAGAGAATATCAGATCAACTCACAGGGACAAGATGTAAGAACAAACTCCTCGAAGGACTTCACTACACACAAATGAAAGAATGACCAACGGCTCCAGTTCACACTTTTTTTTGAATTTTCAGTGAGACCAGTGTGAGGGCACTTTTCTTTTTTTTTGTGATATGAATGTGCTACTTCAATCCCGTTTAAAGTCAGTACAAATAAAAAGATAGTGGTGAAAAATTGCTTTATTCTGGCTGCTGGAAATGGAGGCAGAGAAAGAGCCAGTATGAAAGAACAGCGCTGAAAATATCCGTGGCGTTTACGTCGGGACTTCCTACAGCAAACCCAGCTTTGCTCTATTGCACAAAAACTGTCAGTGAAAAGTTCACAGAAATGTAACATCTTAGAAACCACTTCTGAAAAAGGAAAGTAAGGGCACTCAATTCCAGAAAGTTCATTCAGGAAACCAAAAGCCATCTCTGGGTAACTGCAGGGCATCAATTGAGGCTAACGAGGAATTGTTTCAGCCTTGCAGGCCCAATAGTATATAAATCCAGAGAAACCCAGGGAAATCATGTTGTCTGAACAGACAATGCTCCTTCACTTGTCTTTGCAATTGTGCTTGGAATCGTCTGCTAGCAGGAGGTTTTAAGTATTCAAAAGGACTTTCAGCAGCTGCTGAGATCACTTTACACAGGACAGTGCAGAGAGACCGATCCACTTTATTTACCTGAATTTGCATTTGTATCTTCCAGGCTGGATCTCCTGGAATTCCCCTCAGGGAACAACCCCCAGAGTCCTCAGGGGAGGAGGACTGAGACTCCAGCAAAAAACCAGGACACAGGACTGTCCTAAGGCAGCTGGAATGTGACCAGTGTCAGAGAATCTGCATTGCTATCCAAGGCTGTGTTCTCCTGGGATCTCTTAACAGGTTGCCAAATATATTCTGTGTGCAAACAGGTTCCCCTTTGATAGGTGATCAGAGGCCTCATAATTTAAAGTGTGATCAGCCAGTATCTTATCTACAGTAACTAGAGCTTCCTGTAGTAATGCAAGCCCTAAAAATCATCATAAAAAATATTTCCTTAGAGCACTTTAAATAATTTACAAAATTCTACAAAAACTATGTATGTTTATCCACGATATCCCTGTTAAATAGAAGCATTTTCACATTAGTGTGTGTATGACATACAGGTAACAGCATCTCCCACTGTCTCTCCTTTCCTGTCTCAAGTTTTATCAAGGTAATTACCATGATAGATATTTTCTAAAAAGACTGTTACTGTAAAAAAAAAAGTGTACTTACATATTTGAGACCTTTTTTCCCAAGAGGGAATCTGGGCAGTCCCCTGCAGATAGGTCAGTAAATTTTGCACAAGTTTTGGCTAAAAATTCCTGCCCTTGGTGCACTTCACTAGCAGTTTCCCTGTTCTGCAGGACAGGTATTTTTCCTTCCAAATTGGAGCTGGTTACTTGAATTTCTTCCTGCCTGTCAACTTTTTCTTCCTTAATGCACAACTGCACACTGTTATCTGCACATGCTCCTCCACTGGTTTTATCCACTGCTGCTGCTGTCACATTTAATTCCTGCTGTGGGCAAGCTAAACTGGGATCTGGCTTCTTGTCCAGGGGGTTATTCCCTCCCTTACTGCACGCCTGTGCACTCTGCTGAGCTGTGTCTCTGCTAATTTTATCTGCTTTTCCGGCTGCCACGCTGCACTCAGGGCGTGGGGGATCTACATTTGAATCAGCCCAGCTGCCCGTGGGGATATCTCCTTCCTCCATCCACACCTGTGTGTTCTCAGCTTTGGATGTTCCTCTGCAAACCTGATCTGCTTTTACTGCTGCCTCACTCTGTTCCTGAGAGGAGAGGCTCAAGTGAGAATGTGATTGATCTCCTGAGGCATCAGCCTTTCTGCAACCCTCGGCTTCCTCTTTGACACACAGAGGAGCAGTCTCAACTCCTGCACAGGTTTCTGCTACATGGGGACTTGACACTCTCACAGTGACTTTCTGAGAAGAACTGGATGCTTTTATTGCTGTTGTACTCTCCCCACTAAATTCACCTGTTGGCAAGGGGTTAAGCACATCTGTATCCTGGGAAGCTGCCTCCA